TTTACATCATATTTATGAAAAACCTTTTGATAATATTTTGTGAATTTTACGTAAATAATTTCGGCGAAAAACGTCTCCTCGCGGTAGTATATGAGCATAGGTAGTAAATAATGGAAGGATTTGGAAAAAAATATTTTTATAATATATATAATTTCTTTATGCGCCAAGGTACGTTCTTGAATTGCCAAAAACGACGTTACAAACCCCGAATATTCTGTACAGATCAGACTATTATAGCGTACAGCTGGTGACTGATTTTTATTATAAATATTTTCGTGAACTAATTTTAATTATTAAAAGTCGCTATGATGATTAAATTACATTTGTAAATATAATAAAATATATGATTTGTTGTAACAAAAAATATATACATGTATAAATGGCAACGCAACCCTTACCACCACACTTTTTAAAATTTTTTTCGGACTTTTTGTTGGTTCGGGATTTACTTCAATTTTGTTTTCTTATGTTTTTAGTAAGTATAAGTAAACTAAATTATATTATCTAATTATAATTATTGTTTTCAATTTATTACGTTGGTAACTTTATGATTTTGTAATTGAGTTCGGAAGTGTTTAACTTTAAACAGAGTGGCTCAAAACTAATCCTTCTATCAGAAGATACTATACATTTTGCAATTGACCTCTAATGTCAGTTCTGTTTTGATGGCAATCAAAATTTAAAAGACAAATAAATATAATCCAAAAGCAGAATCAAAGTTTTTCATTCTTTAAAAAAGTTTTTCATTTTCCTAAAAACATCGGAAAGTTATTTTTGCGCCACCTGTTATAATTTTATTTTTATCCATACATATTTCAACATTTAATTTACAGCATAAAATCAATACGGTGTTTGCTCATTTTACTAAATCTTTCTATTATTTCTTCTGGTTCTACAATGTCCTAGTTTATGTTGAGGAGTGCTAAGCCGTTCAATCTTTTCTGGAGCATCGTTGTTCTGAGCCAAGTCTTGATTCGGCGCAAAGAAGAAAAGCGTTCGTCTCAGCGCTAGCATTTGTGACTGGCAAAATGCAGAGTACGTGAAGGTGAATCGCCGGTGCCGAAGCTTTCTAAGGTAAAAAGCATTTGTGTTCACGTAGTCATTTTCTTTTTCCATTGTTGTTGGAAAAGCGCTACTTCTGCTTAGAGCTTCGTTTTTGGCAGTTCTTTGTTTCCGGACAAGATTTTCCCGAAACGTCTAACTACGCATTCAATGATTGCAAATCCTTTTCTTCCAAATTTAGGTTAAATTTTGGTACTTCATCGAAAAACCGTGGTTTTAAATCTGTGTCTGTGACTTTGTCAATGAGTGGAATGCATGCAGAAAACCTGTAAAAGTCTTCACAGCTTTGAGATGGGTGATTGTTTCGATGACTCTGACGACTATATGTTCTGGGTTTTTTCACTTCAACATCTACTTTTTAGTCATCTGTGCAGCATTTGAAAAAAAAAAAAAAAATATTAAAGTGATGATCAGCAAACAATGCTGTTTTTGTTGTTATGAATTTTGATGCTTTTGAAGAGTCGATTGATTCGTTCTGGAGAATCACTGAGACAGAAAATTCCAACAATAATAATAGGTGCAGTTACTGTACTATGTTAGCTACGTAGTCATCCGATGCGAGCAATGTTTGTTTTTACTTATGTATTATATATTTGAAATATTTATTGTTTTTTTTTTTACATTTTTAGTAAAAAATTTTTAATAAAAATTAGCGCTATCTCACGGGATATATGACATTCAAACCGAACCATTCTGCAATGTTACGAATATTCGAATAGTATTAATCGCTCAATATTCATACAAACGTTTTCAAATTACTAATCGGTTTTAGAGCTCATTTAAGGGCTCTACTGAGTTTGAGCAAATCGATGTTTTTTTCACATTTCTAAGACAATTATACCCAAAAAAATATATGGTTGACAGTATGGACGTTTATGGTATATCGAGCCCCAAACTCGACCCTGTGCTGACTTTAACGTCGTTCAGTGTCTTTTTAATTTTGGCACGGTTCTGACAAAAGTACAAAATATGCGTAGTGTCTAAATAGTTGCTGATTCAGAAAACTTATTGATATATTTTGACGTGAGCGTTTTTGGAAAAAATCATAGCACTTGGAAGAATCCTCCATCAGAGCCTTCTTCGATTCAGCTTTTATATTTTCAATTGAGTCAAAACGGTGTTCTCGGAGTAGTCTTTTGAATTTGCTGAATAGCCAGAAGTTACACTAAGGTAAGTCTGGCGAATGCGGGGGTTGCGGCACGATATTACATAGTTGAAAATGTGGCGAAATGATCACGAATAACCAATGCAGTATGAGATGGTGCATTATCGCACTTCTTTGTTCAATAAATTCAGACATAGTAAAAATCAAAAAATTCACTTTTAGAGCCTCACAAAACAACTCGTATCTCAGATACTAATCAAAATTTTAACGTGAAATTTTGCATAATGTCACCAACAGTACTACCAACTCACAGAAAAAAATTTACCGATTCGAAAAACACGCGAAGTATAAATTAAGGATTTAATAATTTGATCACAGTAGTACATGGTCAGCCAAGTCGATTCAGTATTTACGTGAACAAGTCGCTCAGTTTTAGTAACATCGATCTGAAGAATTTCGCATGTCTTTTTCTTAAAGAGATATCGGAGCACTATAGAATATATGTAGCTGTCATAAAAACTGATCTATCAAGATAAAGATCTTTTTATATCTTTTTTGTCACAAGAAATGTTTATTCTCATGTTATTAAATTCTATATTAAGGACAATACTACTTAGGCGCTTAGTGCTCCGCAGCTATCAAAGATTGTTAACTCATTATTTTAAATCTTCTTCTTAATTGGCATAGACACCGCTTACGCGATTAACCGCTTAAGCGAGATAACAACAGCGCGCCAGTCGTTTCTTCTTTTCGGTACGCGGCGCTAATTGGATATTCCAAGCATAGCCAACTCCTTCTCCACCTGGTCATTCCAACGGAGTGGGGGTCTTCCTCTTCCTCTACTTCCCCCGGCGGGTACTGCATCGAAAACTTTCAGAACTGGAGTGTTTTCGTCCATCCGGACGACATGACCTAGCCAGCGTAGCCGCTGTCTTTTAATTCGCTGAACTATGTCAATGTCGTCGTATATCACGTACAGCTTATCGTTCCATCGGATGCGATATTCGCCGTGGCCAACGCGGAAAGGACCATAAATCTTTCGCAGAATTTTTCTCTCGAAAACTCACAACGTCGACTCATCCGTTGTTGACATCGTCCACGCCTCTACACCATATAGCAGGACGGAAATTATGAGTGACTTATAGAGTTTGTTTTTTGTTCGTCGAGAGAGGACTTCTCTTCTCAATTGCCTACTCAGTCCGAAGTAGCACCTGTTGGCAAAAGTTATCTTGCGTTGGATTTCGAGGCTGACGTTGTTGGTGGTGTTTACGCTAGTTCCACGATAGACGAAATTATCTACGGTTTCGAAGTTATGACTGTCAATAGTGACGTGAGAGCCTAGCCGCGAGTGCGACGACTGTTTGTTTGATGACAGGAGATATTTCGTCTTGCCCTCGTTCACTGCCAGACCTGTTTGTTTTGCTTCCTTGTCCAGTCTGGAGAAAGCAGAACTAACGGCGCGGGTGTTGAGGCCGATGATATCAATATCAGATGTGGCTCAGATTGTGGGGTCTCCTTTTTTGAGGATTGGGCATAGCACACTTTAATTCCAATCATTGGGCATGCTTTCGTCCGACCATATTTTACAAAGAAGCTGATCCATGCTCCTTATCAGTTCTTCGCCGCCGTGTTTAAATAGCTCGGCCGGACCCAGCCGCTTTGTTGTTCTTCAGGCGGGTAATTGGAGGATGGAGTCATGTGTAGTAGTGGAGGATGTAGTCATGTGTAGAAGTTCACGGCAGTGAGGAAAGTTCCCTGATCGCCATTCACTTGGGAGTGGCCAGAAACGATTCCTTTACATATGACTCAAGCAGCTCACGACTTCCGGTCTTTGACCAAGTATCCTCTGGGTAGCCTAAGAACATCCGTTCGAAGGCGAGCTAAAGTGAGAAGGCGAAAYATTCCCTACATAGGGTTGTGCGCTGGGTTTGGGACCCGCCACGTAAAAAAAACACCCACAATGAAAGGAAACAACAAGCCTGGGATGAGTGACCCCCCTTTTGATGACGACCATTATTTTAAATACAAAATGTAAATTTCAGGGGGAAAAATTTTCTCTGCATAAAAAATATCTTCAGCAAAATAAAAGAGGAATTTTTAAACCACTTAGCTCAAATGAACAAGATTTTCAAAACAATCAATTAAAAACTATAAACATATACACTTGATAACATATACACATATACACACATATACACTTACACATACAATTATTCTAAAAGTAGTCATATAAAGGTAGATATATAAGGAATGGGAGTATTTTACAATAGTTCCGGAAGTGTATTATATCATAGGTATTTAAGTATGTACATCTGTATGTACATAGTATGTATGTGTGTGTGCCTGGTTATGCATTGCTATGAAATTATGCCAATAATGGAATGATAATTAAGGTAAATTGTCACTTCTTGCTTTGAATGGTTTGATGGTTAAATGGTGACATGATAATTCAGATTTCAATAAAATTCCAATACAAATGCAACAAAAGAACCATAAATAAGTCTGCTCATGCTTTTGACACACGTAATTACAGAAGCAGGAACTAAATATAAATAAATGGGCTTTTACGTGTACCGGTTTACCAAGCATTAATTGTTCTATAAAATTCTCTAAGGTATTTGGTGTTTTTGCAGCTGATGTATGTATGTATGTATGTATATATGTGCACATGTCAATTACAAAACCATTTCGCTACGTAGGTGTTTGTTGCCCAATTGATTTGCTCCAAAAATCTCAACTATAAATAGCGTTTGAACTGCGCTAATCAGCAACAGTTTACAGACATTTGTCGTTGAGCAATAAACAACAAAAACAAAAAAAAAAACTTTTAAAAATGAAAGTAAGTGACATGGATATTTAAACGTTTGAAATATGTATAAAGAATATATAGAATAGCCTATTAAATATGTTTAGAGTGTACTTATCTTATTTATGCTCGATCTACTTCTAGTTTCTCATCTGCTTGGCTCTCCTCTTCGCCGTCGCCCAGGCTAACCCCGGTATCGTGGCACCTTTGACCTACTCGGCTGTGCCCTCCGTGGCCACCTATGCTGCATCCCCATATGCTTACAGATCTTATGCCGCACCTGCCGTTGCCGCCTACTCACACCTTGTTGGGCCAGCTGTGTACAGTGCACCGGTCGCCCGTGTTGCCGCTGTGGCTCCCGTTGCTCGTGTAGCTGCGGTCGCTCCTGTCGCCTACTCCGCTCCAGTCATCTCAACACTCTTGAAGAAATAAGTTCTGTTAGAAACAGCATCAAATTGTTTGAGGAATAGTTGAAGGATCTGTATATATGTGTAAAATAAATTAATGCTTTGTTTTAAATGAACAATTGAAATCTTTTATTTAACTATTAGTGGGAAAAAGAAAAAGTTTCAATTTTTGAATGTGGCTGAAAGTACATTCTATAAGTTGCCCCAATCTGAGCTCCAGACCTAGATATCAACTTTCATATTGGAGCAACTAAATTTCTTTATTACTTCCATTAAGCTTGATTACTAAACCGACTGTAAAAAAAGAAAAGAAAAAAAGCAAAAAAGAAATATTTCATCAAAAATTATATTTATTCAATTCGAAAAAAAAAAACACAATTGTAGCTACGGGTAATGCATAGAAGAAAATGTCTAGTCCAAGTGATAGTAAATAAACATTTAAGTATTGCATTAACTCACATTATAGCTGGAATTGCTAAGCCTTTAATCTATAATCTTTATGAAAAAATCAAAGCCAGGGAAATACATTAAGATGTAAAAAGTCAAAAAGAGGATCGAAAACCAAGCAATTCTATATATCATATAAAATATAATTCATATGCATATACGACATAAGGTTTGTTAGAATAACTGAAATCTAGTATATGGGAGTTTGGGTAGTATCGATCTGATTTAATCTCTTTTTGCCAATGTTCGCTGAGTTTCACTTAGGTGCCTCACATACAATCGCCAACGTGGAATCAACGATTTGAGTGCGACAACTAATTCGAAACGAAAATATTTTATCAACAAAAAATAATGATATTACAAAAACTTGCTTACTTTCAGTTACTTCACTACTTTTGTTGGGTAAAAAGAGATCTTTTACTTTAATATTGCTCCTCATCGATCCCCAATTTACGTTATAAGACTAAGTTATAAGAGCGGCACCTATTTTCATCACAAAAACGATCCATATTTGTGATATATTTGAAGCATATGACTCTTTTAACATCAACCAGAGATATACTATAGGGTTTAAGCCTGGGCTTATTAAAAATTTTTTTGTGTCAACTTAGACGCATGCTTTAAACTGTTATCTTCTTTACAACAGGCAAATTTTCCTCAGCCCGTGGCAACATGACATTTTTTAGGATGTCGACCTATTTCCCTTGTTTAAAATTCCATAAATCTTCTGGAGTGGGTCAACACTATTCCTGATAAAAAAATCCCCACACCATGATTGATCCTACACCGTACTCAATTATGCGTGGAACATAGTGAGGATCAAATTCTTGAATTATTGGACGACGAACTTATCTTCGACCTAAGCGATACAGTTTTGTTACATCGTTCCAAATGACATAACTCCGTTGATTTGTTGTTTTAGACCAATAAGAGTTGGGAAAGTCTACGCGTCGTTTCTAAGAATTTTAGTCAGAAGTGGGTTCCTGCGTGAAGTCCAGATTCGACCAAACGCCGGGCAATTGAATTTCATATAGAATGTAAGTGGAACTCTTTTTTAGGTGTGGTCTATTTCTGTTGCAGTTTTTCGAATTTTTTCGTTGCGTACAATATTGAAAATAGTTTTAAAATTCTGTATGTGCTTAAGGACAATCAATTAATTTTTTTTTTTGACCATTTGACGTTGTTCGAAACTTTTTCGCACATCTTTCAAGGCCGACGAAGATCGAAAATATAACTCATTAAAACGCTTCAATAATACATTTTAAACCCCAATTCTGAGGAATTTTAATTTCATAAACAACTGTTTCTAATTAACTGTCGCACTTGATTCACCTTCTAAATCGTAACGCATTTACTGCTTAGGAAAAAATTAACAGAACTTTAACTTGACAACTACAAAACCGAGTGAGTTTAGTATTAAATGGAGAAGTACTAACAAAGCAACACTTTTAGGAATATAAATAACGGTATATCAAAAATGTGTGTCATTATACTCGTCAGCCACCTACAAAAAAGGAGCGTTTCTAATTAGCTGTCAACAGATGTGTGTATGACTTGAGATTTGTATATAGTTACCCGAAAGTAATAAAAATACATGTTTACATAAATTTAAAACTTAATGAATATATATTCACAGGTCCATGATCAAAAAACTTTATTTATAAAAAACCATACAGTAAGATCCTAAATTTTTTCAACAGAGTTGAGACGACTGGAACAAAGCATGCAACGGGGGCGACTATACACAGCCGGAGTAGCAAAATGTGAGTAAGTGGCCACAGCGGGGGTGGAGTAAGCGGCCTGTGAGTAGCTGGCAACGGCAGGTGTGGCATAAGCGCTGTAGGCATATGGGGATGCAGCATAGGTGGCCACTGAGGGCACAGCGGAGTAAGTCAAAGGTGCCACGATACCGGGGTTAGCCTGGGCGACGGCAAAGAGGAGAGCCAAGCAGAGAAGGAACTGGAAAAAATAATAAAGTGTTACAAATAGATAAAGATATGTTAGAGAATGTGTGAATTGCTTACTTTCATTTTGTTGTAGTTTGTTGTGCTCAAAGCTCAGAACGAGCAATTTATAGCAAATTTTCGCTGCTGAGAATTGTAAGGAATTAAATCTTGTTTGCGCTGCAAGAAGTTCAATTGCCAGTTATGGCTTAGCCTAAACAATTTTTAAAGTGTGGTGTCTGTATGTGTGTCTATGGCCTCGTTTTTCTTTACTCAAATATAATAAAATCAACAATTATTTGCTGTGACCAATTCTTGCTTGCTCACTAATGGTTTCGAATAGTTTTTAGCATAGAGAAGAATACCTAAGCACATACATATTTTCTATGTACATATTCGAGTAAAATAAAGTAAAATTTTATTCTTAGACTTTTCCGGATCTTTCATATACCGAATACTTTATTTAGGGTTATATTTATATTTATTTCAGTTTATACTATTATTTTTTAACATATTTCTGGAAATGTAATAAAGAATATTAAAACATGCGAGAACTTTTCAAATCGTATTAGATTATCCTCAAATAATTGTCGGATATTTCTATTTGTAAGTATATATAGTAAGTATATATATTGTATTGACTGCCGCAGATAACTATTGAAGAACCGAGATTATATATTACATATGAATACAAATGAAAATTAATCTTGAAATTCCTACCACCCCACCACTCCCACCTTCTGTTAGATATTCATAAAAACTGAGAATAAAAGCAGTAGGGTGTAGGAGAGCCCTAAACTGTTTGTGAGAGCAAACGGGATATTGAGGTTACATAATTTCCTTTCCATAAGATATCTTTCTCATTTTATCTCTTCTCGTTGCAATATAAGTGCTATTACCTATAAATTTTTCTGAAATATTGTAAGCGTGGTAAATTATCAGCTGTAATGTCTTCTCATCCCTATAGCGATTTAGGGGACAAGTGGAGACTGGTTCAACAGTAGTTTTGATTAACTTCATTTCGGTAGTGTGCGCCAACAGAAATTTTTTGTTTAGGAGCAGTTGACTTAGTACGTAAGCGAGTATTAAATACATATTGCGTATTTTTACTTTGTTCTTTGTTATTAATTTGCTGTTTTTACACATATTAATTAATGCTTGCAGACCAACTCGCTTACACTTACTGAAATACTAAAATATAATATCGAGTTGGTAAGCTTCAAGAAGCTAAAACCATATATTAATTCCCTATCAAGGAAAATATTTGTGAAAACCCCAAACTTTCTTAGCACTCGCCCTTGTGCGATAATTTGTTCGTTGTTCTAGTATTATAAGAAAAACGAACTATTTCCAAAAGAATTTACTCTTTCGTAGGCTGATTAAATCTATAGCAACAACGTAGTGTTTCACAATAAATTGGGGTATTTATGGTTAAAAACTTTTTAAAAAGTTGCGGTGACCAGTTTAGAATGATTTTCATGTTACTAATATCAGGTTTTCGAACACTCGGTAGACTTTGCTCCATATGATTGGCGATTGTATGTGAGGTACCTTAATGAAATCATGGGAAAATTTTTTTGGTATGTGGCATGATATAATGATGTTCGTACAAATTTTATGCCGAGTTAGTGGGTCAGTGTATGAGTTATATAGAGTTTAGTATTTTCCTGGCATTGATTTTTGATCGGTGGCATCAGAAAGTATCTTTCTTACTTGTATTTTTGCTTAAACTAGTTAAAACTTTCTAATACTCTAGCTAACACCACTGCCACGAAGTTGAAAACCGAAAAGAGTTGAACCGGATTTTTTTTTACAGGTTGAGTTGAATACCATAATGCCGAATTTGGAATATTTTAGATTTTTTAACAACTTGCAGACTTTTCTTATTTAAAAATTAAGCATCTAATTTTTAAACCAAAAGAAAATAGATACAAATTGATAGTTTTCTTTTTTTAAAGTGTAAGTTTGCCGGCCAGTGTTCTAACGGGTGTTCCAAGTATAGGTACTGTTTTCAATAGCTTTTTTTTCAAATCGCGTGTGAGTCGTTTCAAGCTTTCATGTTATTTATTTCTCAGTATGGTTAAGCAATTCATCATGAAAAGACTTTGCAAATTGTTGAATCATTCATTGATGTATTGAACAACCTGCCTTATTTTACGTCGATGTCATTAATAGAAAGCATACAAAATAAACGGCTTTTACAAGAACTGAAGCCGCTCGACCTTCCCAAGCGACATTACTTCGCTCTATGGGATCTTGAAAAGTTCCAAGAAAAGCTGACTTTTCGAGCAAAATTTTGTTCAGATATTAGAACGAATAAAATGAAAAGATTTACGGGTTGCCATTTAATTCGGAAAAAATTACGCTTTGGTGTCATGGAATCATCCGTCCATATTTCTTAAAAAATGATACCGGTAAGAATGTAACCATCAATGGTGACCGCTATCGCTCCATATAACCGAGTTTTTCATACCTGAATTTGAAGATAGTGATCTTGGCGACATTTGGTTTCAACAAGGCGGTGTCACTTCACACATATCGCATCAATCAATGGATTTATTGAGAGAACACTTCGGTGAGCAAATAATTTCACGACACCGTCATCATTTTTCCTGTGGAGATATGTAAAGATTAAAGTCTATGCGGATAATCCCGCATCGATTCAAGCCTTAGAGCAAAACAACACGCGTGTCATTCGTAATGAGTCATTGAACGAGTCATGGAGAATTGGACTCAATGGACACACCATCTAAAAAGTAGTCGCGGCCAACATTTGAAAAAGATAATTTTCAAAAAAATAGAAACCAAAGAATGTTCCTTCGAATGATAATAAACATTCCCCATTAAACTTGAAGTTTCTGTATTTTTTATTTAAAAAACTAGGAGACCTATATCTATAGTTATAACAGAACACGAAGTTCGTCAAGGTAATTTAAGAAATCCTCCATTACTGCCTTTCTATTAAAAGAAAATTGGAAGCAAAGTAAAAATTTTTTAATTTTCTTTAAAAAATATTGTATTTCATTACATACTACTTAATAGCGAATTAACATGAGTATTCTATTTTATTTTATTCTCCATGACACTTGACATACGAGTACCTAGGTTACCCTACAGTTTATCATTGGTTTGTTGACGTGATAATATCGAGCACCTTGCAAATCTGACTATTGTCTTTTACAATATACATTAAAATGTATTAAATATCGTTTTGCGCAGAAGAGCGCTAAAGAACTTAATCTCAGTTTTTACGAGGAGGGGTAGGGTATTCTGATCATTACACAAAGGATGATTGAAAGAAATCTTCCCGAGTTGTGTCATAATCACACGAAGTGCCTTGCAAGAGATGGCGGCGAATGAATTTGTATTGGATGACGGGCGAAAAGTCTCTTTTGGTAGTAATGATTATGTGAAAAATATATGCACACCACAAGCTCGTTGGTATTTTCACTTGATTGCCAGTTTTTTGAGGTTTATTTTCCCACGTGTTGCCAGTTGGTCGGCTGCCAACCATATGGATGCCAATTTGCGGTGTTAAAATATATTTGTGGACTGCTTAGTACTGGCCAATCATTCTTCCCTACTTGGTGCACCACCTGTCCACTATATTGTTGAAGCTGTTGTGCTTGAATCTGTTGATATTGTTGCACGCTTACTCGTTGCACCTGTTGTCCTTGGAAGTATTGAGCTGATGGTCCTCTTTGTACTTGCTGTCCTACGAACTGCTGGCTAGGTGGTGATCCACTACCTCCTATTCTTTGCATTTGATGACCTCGGAAATTGGGAGATGGTGCTTCACTTGGTATCTGTTGTAGTCTTTGGTATTGTTGCTGATTAGATACACCGACTCTCTGTGGTCCTCCGATTTGTTGGAACGGGTTTATACCTATTTGTTGAGATGCAGGTCCAGCTAATCCCACTCTTTGTCCTCCTCCAAACTGCACACCTACTTGTTGGAGCTGTGGTCCAGCCACAGGCTGGAATTGTGATCCTCTCGCCGGTTGCAATTGTATTCCACCAACTGGTTGTCCGAACTGGTGAAGTGGTGGCGTACTTCTTTGTTGGATTTGTGTTCCAGTCACAGGTTGGAATTGTGTTCCGCCTGCTGGTTGTCCGCCCACCTGTAGGGAGTGCTGCTGTCCACCCACCTGCGGTCCACCCACCTGCGGTCCACCCACCGTCTGGCGTTGCGCTATGCGCCTTCCTTGCGCATCTCGTGTCGCCGGCAACGGTGTGGCCAACGCCACCGTACTAACCGCGTTTAATCGCCCATTGGCTCGCACAGATATCTGATTAACTTTGAGTGCCGGATAGAAAATCTGCTGGGCGCTCGAGAGCGTGATGCAAGCTGTCACAAGAGCAAGAAAAGTATGCAAGTTGTCTCTGAAGAGCTGTAAAGTTTATGACAATGTTAGAAGGTGAGCGAAATATACAAAAAAAAAAAAAAAAAAAGGAAAGTCAATGTTCTTGCCTGCATTCCGGTGTAGTTTGTAAGTTCTGTTCTTCTGGAGTGTTTCCTGTGCTTTAATTGGACGGGCGGTCATTGGATTGAATTTATATTTAAATATATGCTCGGACTTGCAAATAACTGGATCACTGCAGATGCGAGAGTAACCTTTGTTGCACCTGGCTCGGCGCAGCGTGTGTCGCTATGTTGTACTTTTTAGTTTCCTTCACCGTTTGATAATTAGCATTTTTATTGCAAGCCTCATTCTTAATTTGTTTTTTGTTTTTGATGTAACAAGCAAAGCCGCTGCGTTCAAAGCAAAATTTGTGAGCTCAACCACCGGTTAACGGGGTGTGCTTGATTCGTCTGCTTCGACAAGTGACGATGCGACGAGGTGAGGTCATTAAAAATCAAATGAAACCGCTTCCAGCGGAACGGTTATGCAAAGTAAGAAATAAGCTTTTGACCTACCCACATGGTCATTGGTCGTTAGTGAGTTTTTTCTCAAAGGAGATTAAAAAAAAAAAAACAATTATTATTTATTACGTACATAGGCACGTTGATTATTTATTTGTTTGGCGGAGGCATTTTAAGTCACGACAGGTAAAGAGAGACATCAATGTATCTCTCACTCTTTCAAGAACGAAAACACTCCAAAATATAAACAATACATCTTTTCTTCTGTGTTGATTGTTTCACTAAAAAAAAAAAACAACAAAGATTTAATAAGTTAAAGGAAAAATATGTCAAAAACAGTTGTTTCACAATCTACATTTTCTCAGTATAAACTTGTAGTTCCTCTCAATAAATGAGATAAAATTCTGTCCCTTTCTTTTGCTGCAAGTGTTTTCATGGTCGGCGGCAAAGTAGGGTATATAAAGGGTGATGTATTTCTAGGTTCCCTATTTTGTTAAAGAAAAAACACGGAAACTTCAAATTGAATGGAGAATGACTATTATTACTCGAAAGAACATTCTTTGACATTTATTTTCTGAAGATTATCTTTTTCAAATGTTGGTCGCGACTACGTCTCACAGGGTCCAACTGTTGTGTGCAATTTTCGATGAATCGTTCAAGCATTTCGACTCGTAATGACACGCGCGATGTTTTGCTCCAAGGCTTGAATGAACCAGGATTGTTCAAATAGACTTTACAATTTACATATCCCCACATGAAAAAGGCTACCGGTGTGATACTACACGATCATGGCCCGGCCCAAAACGTTAAATTATCTGCTCCCCGAAGTGTACTCTTAATAAATCCATTGATTGATGCGGTGTGTGGAAATGTCGCCGAGATCACGAGCCAATTAGTCGGTTATCATAGAGCGATAACGGTCGGAATTAACGATTACGTTCACGCCGGCATCATGTTTGAAGAAATATGGACGGATGATTCCACCGGCCCACAAATCACACAAACCCTTTGATTTTTCTGGATGAAATTGTAGCTCTTGAATCTCTTCAGATTGTTTTTCGGCCTAAATTCAGCAATTTTGCTTATATACATACCCATTGGAATATAAATGGGTGTCACCGCTTAATCCATATCGATTGGGAAGATCGAGAAGCTTCAGTTCTAGCACAAGCAGTATTTGGTACGTTTTCAATTTAAGATTTCGACGTAAAAAGCGCAAAGTCATTCTCAGCTACGACTGCTCTCTTTTCTTTATTGCGTGCTGGACGTGGTCTATTCGAACGAATATTATCAAGATGTTGTTGCGAATGGTACGCTCGGTAGGCCGATTATGTTGACCATAAGTTGTGAAAAGCGCGCGAAACACGCGCGGAACGATTTGTGCATACATCCTTTTATACACAGGAATAAAAGTAGGTTTATAATAAATAATTATATTTATTTGAGGCTAGCAAATTTCGTAACTATTCTTAAGGCCCTATAATGTGCATACGTTACTGTCAAAAAATGAACGAAAAGCCTGTCAAATGCATAACGAATGAAGAGTAGACTTTTGAATGACTATAATGTACTTCGATGCAGAAGAAAAGTGTCAATAAGCAATTTGTTTTTTGCTTTTATATTTCGTTTAGATTTTTCAAAAATGAATAGAAAATTAAAATATTTAAAAACAATTAAAATGCTTACTTGTGTTTTAGACCGAATGCGCATATTAACAGAAATTAGTGAAATTACAAAAAAAAAAGAGTTCGGTCATGTTCAGTGAGGGAAATAAACAGAAAGAGGAAAAAGGATGGTTTTTTTGTACGTTTCCTAGAAATGAAAAGGATTGACTACACTTATTTTTTTTATATACACGCGAATGACGCCACAAGTATATGAACTTTTGCTTACTCTTGTTGAGCTCTTTTAAAAAAAAAAATTCGTTGAGGGAGCCTGTGCATCCGGAATGTCGATTAGCTTTAACATTACAGTAAGTTTGTTCATTTTAATACATTTTTATTATGTCTTATTCTTTTTTCTTTTTCTTAAAGATATTCATCACAAGGAACTTCGTTTCAATCGTTGGCATGGTCATTTCAACTGGGAAAGGAAACGCTTAGGCGTATTTTTCTGAAGACAGCTGAAGTCCTTTGGACGAAGTTAGGCGCTGTTTATGTATCTGAGCCTAATGAAGAGGATTTCAAAAAAATTTCTCAAGATTTCTGGGAACTGTGGAATATGCCCAACTGTGTTGGATCTATTGATGGGAAGCATATCTCCATTCGATGCCCACCTAAAAGCGGTAGTCAATTTTCTGCTACAAAAAATATTTTCTTTTGTGTTGTTAGCAGTATGTGATGCACAATATCGGTTTACTTACATAGATATTGGTGCATATGGAAGTCAGAGTGATGGTGGTAAGGACTTTTATATTTGGGCATTTTTTTTTTTTTGTAATTAATATTATTGTTTCTCTTTACGTGTATAGGCATTTTTCAAGTGAGTCGATTGGGAAAGAGGTCGCTAAATCACAAACTTCCCTTCCCTCCACCGAAAGACTTACCCAATACGCAACTAAAAACTCCACACTTCTTCGTTGGTTAATGTGCCTTTCCTTTAGGGATAAATTTAATGCGCCCATACCCTGGGGGAATGCTACCAAATGAAAAAGAGGTTTTTAATAAAAGATTATCAAGAGCTCATCGCACAATTGAAAACTCTTTTGGAATACTAGTAGCGCGTTGGCGAGTTTTACTAACAATATTACATTTATTTCCGGAAAATGCAGAAAAAATTGTTTTGGCGTGCGTTGCCTCACATAATTTTATTATGTTTAATAATGACATTTGAAAAAACTGAACGAAACTTGATGTATTCACTTGTGTGTATTCGGACAGTTGCTTACGCTGGCTTAAACTAGATTACGCACATTATGGTTAGGCCCTTAGAACCCAAAAATTTGGGCAACGCCATCTAGCGGGAGCTAGTTATAACCTCTTATGTGACAGTAATGTTTGCAACCATTCCAACGAACGCTTGTGGACAGATATAATCAGTTTTTAGGGAAAATTTAAACTTTTACACAAAATTTTTAAACAAAAATTTACAGTTAATTGTGGAATTTTCATAAAATTCAGTATCTACAAATATTTTCATATAATCAAAGAAAACCGCGCTGTTTAAGTAACGAGTTTAACTATAATTGGTTACTCAATTTAGCGAAGTGCTGAACCGTAAGTCGGTATTTCGATTTTTACAGCAAACCATCAGTAACGTTCTCTGAAACCATGTTACGTTCTGTATTTATACGCTCTTTGCTCAAATACGTTCTTAGTTTTGCTTTACAGTGAAAGTAAAAATGTTAATAAGGGAACAGATGAAAGGAGTAGCTCATTGAGTGCATTAGCAGAAAATGTTTCATTAAAGTTAAAACTCGGTAGGGGAAAACAAGGAAAGGAGCCATTGCGGTCACAAACATAGTTGGGGAAAATATGTTTTTAAGACAAGCGGTTTTCAAGAAGAAATATAACGGATATATTTTAATGTTATGGGTAAGAACTTGTCTTGGTGAAACAGCGCCTTTCATGAGCTCTTATTTTTAAAAACTACCAGTCATCTGTCATCATTGGCCGATCCCATCAACACTGATGCCTTAATTCCAGCCATTATAATTGAATTGCTATCCCTGTTCCTCACTATAACTAGTAAAATAAGCTTTTCCAACTTCAAAAACAGTTATAACTTCGATATCGTCATTAGTATACGTATTTGAGGACCATTTGCTTAAAAAAAATTAGGACACTTGAAAGTATCAACATTTTATTTGATATACAGTTACAAAATTTATTTTTTCTTAAAATTGGAACATTTTTAATGCAAATATTGTTTCCCAAACAAAACAAAAAAAAAAAAAAAAAAAAAAAATTATTGAAACAGACAAAACTAGTAAACACACAAAGTCCATCAGTGATCAGTAAAAAAAAAAATTGTTTTGCTTGTAAGAAGTTCCTAGGTTCTACATTTCCCATTGGTCAAGCCAATCTTGCTTTACGGTGATTTAGTGTGACAAAACTTCATACAGAAAATCGTTGGAGCGGGTCCAGTGACTCCTTATTTGCGTGCAGAAGCAAGCGACTCATCAGCGAAACTTACAAAATCTATTGCTCAACCCTGAGGGGTGCCTTTTCAAGCGTCCGGAAAACTTTGCGACTGAGATGGCCAACAACGATAGGAAGGCAATAGCTGATAAAATTGCCAAAAGTGCACAGCAAGAACGGACGTCACTAAAAACGAAAAACAATGAAATTTTTAATAGGGCTGAGAGAGCCCCGAAGAAAAATACGCATGCTTTTACTTTTACTGACAGGTCACAATCTACGGGCGTCACAAGCGGCCCGGGTGAGCATAAGTAATGTCGAAATATGCAGCAAGTTTAGGTAATTAAGCATGAGAGAGAGACTGCAATCTCGTCTTAAATACATAGGAGCTTTACAGTTCAAGGGACTGCATGTCAGAGGTTCTGTTCCCAATGTTACATCAAGTTTTATGGTGAGTGAAATTATTCAACAAAAAAAAAAAAAAAAAAAAAAAAAAAAAAAAAAAAAAAAAAAAAAAAAAAAAAAAAAAAAAAAAAAAAAAAAAAAAAAAAAAAAAAAAAATCCATGAAATTTTGCGTGCGGAATCAATAAAATAGAGGAATAAGTGCTACAGAACGATTAATAATCAGAGATTTTACTGGCATCGTTGGAACATTGGATGAATGAGTGAAAGCCATTTTAAAAGATAATTAAGCCTAAATAG